GGCACAAAAGTGTCTGACAATAAAACAAGAGAGGAAATTGCACTCGGACTCTCCTGGAGCCAGCCAGCACACTGTGGGCAATTTCTTTTTCTCCTCCGTCCTCTGCTCTTCAGAAAGAGATCAAGTTCTCCACTGAACAGCATTTACATCGTTGTTCTTTACAGTACTAACGAGTCTCAGGCTCTCTTCAATCCAGTTTTTCCCCCTTGTTTTCAGAACAATATGCTAGAAACTGCCTGCTGAGTGCATGTCTGTGCCAAGTTCACATTTGTCTAAGAAGAATTGAGGCAGCCTGTAGAAGCCCTCACCATGGAAGTTGCCAGTTCAAAAACCTCAACTCTGCTCTAACAGCAGTGTTTACAGGCATTATTTACTATTATTTTACTATCTGTACAGCTGCAGCCTTCTTTTAATTCAGGCTAAGTGTGCAGTTTCTTAAAAACAGTACTAACCACAGTTTTCGAGACCTTCCAGGATGCTCTAAACCCCCTTCAGCCAGCAGGCAGATGCTGAAATGCTGTGAAGTGCTGGTAATAGTGAAGTCTATTTGGCAATTTTAATTCAATAATTTTATGTTCCTCATAAATCCCAAGGGTTTTCCACTCCCCAGAGAAGAATTTTTTGTATTTCTGATCTTGACCAGGGGACCTGAAATTTTCCCTGAGAGATGCACCAGGACCTCATTGTCAAACGTCCAGTTACTCTGAGTCTCACCTGCCCAATACATCTGCTCTGTTCAAAAGTGGGCTTTTTGAAACAAAGGTGTGCAACGTGGCCTTCAGAAGGAAAAGGCCTCAGGCATTCCTTTTTGGGAAAAGCCAGACACAGCTCAGCAAAGACTATAAACCAAAAGAAGTCTTGACAGCCAGCCCATCATGTTATGCTGTGAAGAACAGGGTGATGAGTCCACAAAGCCTGTAAATTTCAGTTTTAGCTAAAAGTGCCCAACCCTTGCCATTGTACAGAATGGCTGAAAATGAAAAATAACGTGAGAGAATGGCCAGAAGTTTGTCTAAATGTATACACTAGTTATAAAACTAACCAGAATTTACCTTTGGAGCTCCCAAAGCTCATCAAAACAGGTTTCTCTAATCTTGAGGGGAAAGGCTGTAATTACAAATACATTTTTAGTTTACGGGGCAGTGTGAGGTGGCTGAAGGGGTCTATTTTCTGCTTAAACACTTTCAGCTCAGAGGAATGGAAAGCAAATATGGTCTCCCATCTCAGGGGTTATATCTTAGCAATATGGAAGGCACTCTCATCCTAGGCAACCAGACACCACGAAAGAGACATTAACACCAGCTCTTCTGGGCAATTCCTACAATGACACAGCGGAAAAGCAGGACTTCTCCCACATGATATTGCATAGATTAATTACACGCACACAGCAGAACTTAGGGTGCTTCTTCCATAGAGAATTTGAGACTATAAAAATGAAGCCTGTGAAGCTCTCCAAAGCCAACACACAACATCCCTCAGAGCTTACATTCATCTTCATTACACCTTGACTAAAACTTCCAGAAACTAGCTACACTGGTGAGAAAGTCTGACACCATCCACCCCAGGACACTGAGGTCCCCATCTGCTCTGCAGGGGCTTTGCCACTGTGCTTACTTACATCACAGAGAAGTACCACCATCGGTGAGCAGGCGTTAAGGGCCCCTTTCTGGTAACAGCATTCTCTACTGTATCTCCCCAGCCAGTATAAACCAGGGCAACAAAAACTGTGCATTGTTACAATTCCTGCCAGGGATTTTGCCAGCACAGCAATGCTATCCAAGAGCATGACTTTATAGTTAACACAGCCATGCCAGCAAAACATTACAGTGTAAACCTGAGTCAAAGAAAGGTATACAGCTGGAGTCCGCTTCTGCTCACAGAAAGGAGATTGGGAAGAGTGATGACTGCTGATGGGTTAGCAATGTCAGAAGCAGCTCGTCTCCCAGCTGGAAATGCAGGCTTATAAACCAAAGGAACCAAATAAATCCACGCATGGCTATCATAAGTAACATCCACTTCTCCATTAAATTTCCTCCCACTGCAAAGTGTGGCTCATGAGATGGTACTTCTTGGTCTCCCAAAGGCAGGAAAAGCTTTCACCATTAATCTGTTCAAATGAGTCACCAGGAAAAGAGAACTGTGAATCCCAGCACAAGTGTGCTGTAGGTAACACGTAAAGCACAGAGCAGCTGCCTTGGCACGGGCTGGAGAGCTCTTCTTCTGATGGTAGAGAAAGGGGATGTTGGGGAGCCCAAGAAAAAGTTCAGGCTGGGGACCCCTGCACCAACTTAATCCCATACCTGAAGGTGGTACAAAGACACCACCTCTCAGCATAGCTTCCAGCCCCAGATGCCGAAGAAGATAAAGCAAGAAATCTCACTCAGGATGCAGCACCTAGCAAAGAGGCATTGTGTCACCGGACACTGTAATATAAATCCTCCTGTAAACTTGCAATTTCATTTGCAGCACCAGCCTTCTCGGGTGTCTCTGGATGAGGCACCATTTCAGCTCTATGTTTAGCAATTGGAAAGAAGCCAGAAAGACTTCCATAACCACTACTGATTTGTTAATCCTTTAATGCACAGGCACTGTTTGTTACTTAGGACGTGAGGTTTCATCACTCCTCAGCATGCTGGTGATAGAACTTCTTGACACCAGACTGCAAATACTATTACAATGTCAATACTCCCAGGGAGGAAGCCAAGCCGAGTTAAAATGTGACTTTGGTGTTGACAAGCCAGTTTGGCACTGCAGAGTTCAAACAGCCAGGATCACCAGGCAGCTTTAAAAACAGAAGAAAGTTTGCCAGGATCCTTTTCGACTAGAGTCTTATCCCAAGATCCGCATGGGAACAGCTGAACACTTTCCAATCAGATGAAGCAAGTAAGAATACAGGAAGTGGATTATACTTTTCCAGGGAAGTGCTGGGAGCAACGTGTACATATGCATGTGAGTTCGTGTCTATACAGATTTTCCTCATCTTTCTCACTGAAAGAGAAAAAGCCCAAATCTAGGTTTGTAGCATGACAGATATGGAGGTGATGCAGCTCAGTATTCCCAGGGAGTTTACTCAGACCATGGTAGCTTCAACACTTCTATGCCGTAAGGAAAGCTGTGTATGATAAAAAGAAGTATTCCTGAGTGTGACCTAAAATAGATCAGATCCTGGTCTTTCTGGAGGGCCATTAAGACATCGCACAGGAGCTGCATGGAGGATCACAGCCATGTTGTCATTGGTGCCTGCTGCTGCTGGGGAGGCATCTGGCCTTCACCATAGCATAGAGCTGTTTTAAAATCATTTCCCTCCTGGATTCAAACATCCATAGGGATACAGCCTGAAAGGTGAGGACACCTGAGGAGAGTTGTGCACCTGAGGAGAGGAAAAGGCACAGCCTTCCCACCCAGGACAGTAAGAAGAGGAAGGGCTTATGGGGCTGCTTCAGCACCACGTGCTCCCAGACTGACTGGGCTTCACCTTACCAATGCAATAAGCCCAAGCAGCTATTCAGCTCCTATTAATTTACCCCTGATTAATTACTAGCCACTGGTTTTTTTTGACCTCATAAGGCAGATCTGATGGAGTAATGTGCCCAGCTGTGGCAGGACAAAGCTGGGCCAAGGGCACATCAAGCCCATTCCCGAATCCATGTGCATCCCAGCTGCCCACACACAGCCCATCTACTTATCAACAGCTCCAATTAAATGGTCTTGGGGTTTCGACCGCCACCAGCTCACTCAGGGTTGGAAGAAAGACAAAGGGAGTTAAAATTGAATTAGCAATTGATTAATACATGAAGCCACTCGGTAGCTGTTGAGTTGTGCACCCTTTGGGGGCTTTAACTCTTTGGTGCCCTGTGAGTTTTGTTTCACAGCTAGCACTGCTAATGAGTACACTGGAAATTTGGGGTGATTGTCAAAAAAAAAAGCTCACGGTCAGGTTAAAATGTGTATTTCAGTAAAATCAAGGTTTGACAAAATTATTTTATTGACATTTCAGTAAGCATAGATCCTTCACCCTTTAACAGGGATGTTTTAGAAACATAGATCCTGGAGCAGTCTGTTTTCAGACTTGGTGAAATGCAAAGAACAGCACAACATAAACTGGCAAAAAGGTATTTTTTCTTTTAAATAATTAGGAGGGTTTTTTTCATTTCCAGTCTTTATAATTGGAAAGAATTTGGAACAAAATGACCGTGAAACTTGGTGCTTGAAGTAAGAAGCAAAGTATAGAAAAAACCTTTAAAATGCAAGGGAGGTAGAACAGACAACAGTGAAAGGATGCAAAGAACAAGAGAAAAAGGCTACCTCTTCCAATGGTTTAACAGACAGTTGAATTCAGCAAAGCTGCCCCTGTTTACAGTAAGCACGGTGTTTTATGGGGGCATCCAGGGGACATACCAGACAGAATGACTGTTTTTTTCCTACTGCTTGATATTGCTGTATACAGATAGGTAAGCACGAGGAGTGATCAAAAGCCCAGTGGCATGTGGAATAGACTTTGAAGGGCAGATGCAAGCAAAAAGTGCCAGTTTAGAGAGGTCTGTTCAGATTTAAGCAAGATCTCAAATAAAAGCTGGGAGCCAACACTGCACAAAACCATTCCCAAGGCTGTCTTTTGACTACAGCCTCCTCTTTCAACAAGATTAAAGCCAATGTAAATGGGCAAGTAAGACAAAATCCTACAGCAAGGGCACAGGCAGCACCAGACTCTCACAGCATCCCCAAAAGCAGGATGGATCAAGGTGTTCTGCAGGGAAGTGTAAATGCATCTCTGAAACACACACAGACACTAACAGAGGGTTTATTTTTTTTTCCTTTTCCTCCTTTTTTTTTTTTTTTTTTGACAAAAGGAGACCAAATTCCACCAGTGGGTGCTTGATATGTAAAGTCCAGTATGTCCACCAAAAACCTTTGTGCATTCAAGTGGGCAGTCAGACACAACCATAAGGAAACAGGAGAACTAAGCCACATTAATATCTATTAGGCAATAAAAAACCTACCTGGGAAAGAAGCTTGTTGTCATCCTCCAGCAGTTTCACTTTTGTTTCAAGTTGCCTGATGTAGTTGGAAGACGAATCTTTAGGAAAAGAGAAAAAAATACATTTAAGCTTCTTGTGCTACAGCAAGTACTGACAGACAGTGATACGTTTTCCCACTCTGTGGAAGGCATGTTTGAGAGAGACTAAATGAATAAAATCCCAAGTGTATTGGGTGAGGAGGGGAATATCATGTGATCTCATGTCAGTGCCACTAGGTTAGGGAGTGAGCAAGTAAAGAAGGAAAGTGAAGTTGAAATACTGTGTTTCATAATTTTATAAAAGTACTTTCCTAGCTTTGAAAGCCATGCTCATTCATCTAAAATGTACCAAAATACTCAACAACAGAACAAGATGTTTCCTTTTAGGCTTGAACAAACAACCCCTCCACACACGTGCCTTTTTTCTTTCAAAAACATCTGAAAACCTTACAAAAATAAGTGGCTGGCACAACTCTACAAGGAGATCACTGCCAAAACTCCCAGTGCTGTAAAAGGGGAAGAACTGTACACGGCAAGGCCATAGAGCTGCAGCATGCACACAGCCTGGCGCACACAGCAAGTGCCAGCCCAGGACATCTGTTTTTTCTAGTGGAAGCACATAACACCAAATAGAAAAATTCCAGGAGAATAAAATACAGAAAACTCTCAAATAAAATGGTAATATTCGACCTGAAAGAATGTAACGGCCAGTTTTCCATTGCAGTAAGACAGCAACACCAGATAGGGTGACCCGGCATAGAAGATAACTTGCTGGAGAGCTATGTGGGTGGCTTACTGCTCTCCAAAACATCCGATTCTTGTTTTGAAATGTGCTTTGAAGCAACACATTTGCAAATTCCAAGGGAAGAAACTAAAGGAACCTGGGAAAACCTTTTCTCCATTTTCATTACAGCTTAGTGGTTCGCAACAGTTCCTTCCAGCCACCTAGATGTTTGCAGAATTTCCCCTCCACGTTGGTGGCAGACGCTGTGAGTTGTTACAGCAGCAGGAAAAAGGTTTTGCAGCTTAAGTGTACAAAAACCCCCAAACATTTTCTGCACTGCTAAAGGGGCTCTGCAAAATGGAATTATATTTTACCTCATTTCATTTATCATGGTAAGTCTGCAAAAGCCACTGTTCAACTGTAGGGTTTCCCACCAAGCGTGAATCAATGAGCAGCTGTGCTGATGCCGGCCGGTGTGTGTCGCCAACTGTCAGCACCCTTCAGGATCAGCCCCACCATGGTTAGCAGGCACCACTGCCTGCATCTCCCCGCACACGAACATGCGCCCATGCACACATGTAAGGTTTAGGCTGGCTCTGTGCTAAACAGCTTATCTCTGCCTTTGCCAGTAGCTACCAAGTGCACTCAGCACAAGCCTGGATGCTGTTTCTTGGCCACCCTGGGGGCAGTTTAGCAGAAGAGCTAGCATGCAGGCTGTAGTTAATCACTGAGAGTGCTTTGACCATTCAAGAGAAAAATTGGAATATTCTTGAAAAAGTGCTGCCATAGACAAGTGCCAAACTGCACATAAAGGAACAGCAGGATGGATCAAGTCAAGTGCCCATCTAAAGCACAAACACTCTCAGAGGAAACATGCTCACTTTTTTGTGTGGATTGTGCTTCATCCAAACCAAGGAAATCCAAACTGTCCTCATGAAAAAGGTTAAGATGACACTGTAGGAAGCTATGTAAGTTCAGTGAACAGTTCAAGTGGTGGTAAAGTTCACAGCAATATCACCTTCAGCTGCAGGGACCACAAACTGTCCAATAACAGCCCCAATGTGGGAGGGGTCTCCAGATCAGAGGAGAAGAGGGCAAACCAAGTAGATTCTATAGGTTATAGGATCAATCCATAGCACCTCCCCTGCAAATGCCTTGTGCCAACAACATCTGAATTTAGTCATGCATATGAAAAGGTGGTGAGTATCACACTGCTGAAGATTGGTGCTTAAGTCAGCAAGATTCAGCATCAGCTTGAACAACTTGTCGAATTAGTAATGAATCTGTCCTCCAGCAGGACGAGAGGGGAGTTTAAGACTCTTAAATACAACGCCAGGAGTACAACGGACCCTTTGGTCTGACCTCCTCTGTGCCCCAGGCCACTACACTTTATTAACTTACCCCTAAATTCAGTCCAATAATACTGTTTGGCTAAATAGTTCCAGGAACAGTCTCCACGTCAGTCTGAAGACAACCAGAGGCTCCACCATTCCACTCCTGTGCTGGATACAACAGCCTCCATCAGTAGATCTGGTCAGATAAGGTGTCCTTGCCTGCCTGCCCTGTACCTGCACGCTAGCAGGGCAGCAGCAGAGCCAAGTGCCTCTACACAATGAACGCAGTGATCCTGATACAACAAATCCTGATTTTTATCTCAAAGTATCAGGGCATTCAAAGCAGCTTCAAGGAAGGATTCAAAGTGGTGTCAATGAAAGGCTCCATCCATGCCTGCCTGGGAATCAGAGATATGCCTCTGGATCAAGCGCAGCCCCTGTGAGCATAAATTGGGCAGACAGCAACACTTGCATGAACAATTGTAAAAATGTTAGATAATGCTAAAGAAGATCCCAATGTGATGCTGGTAACAGACATAGACTCCACAAGACCCACAGCACCGACTAATCCTGTTGCCTCTTAGTAGCCCAAGCCTGTTTCCCAGGTGGCAGGGAGCCTGCTATATGCAGCATTCCCCCCTACCTTCGTACTCTGTCACCACTACTAAGTGTTTATATCGTGGATCACCACATCACGTCCACAGCAACCAAAAAAAATCCTATTTCTGATGCAAACAAGCTCTTTCTCAGAGTTCTGTGCCCATGGAGAGCAGAGAAACTGCAGGAGGTCCTCTCCAGCAGCTCTGCGTTCAAGCACAGTGGGAAGTTACCCAAGACGGAGGCAGGCAACCTGAACCTCGTGAGCAACCTCTTCAACATGTGCTTGTGGTGGGTTCCAGCACTGCTAACAGCTACAGGAAATTCATGTTAAGAGGATGAATGGTGACACAGAAGCTGTTGTGTTCAGGCCCCGAATGCTACAAGGACTGACTGGTTGGTTGATGGAAAAAATAGGGCATGTCTGCCAAAGAAAAGGAAATTGAAAGAGAATTATTTCCTCACTTCGCTTTCACATGCCTTGCAAAAAAAAAACCAAAAACAAAGGAACACATCCCTGCATCCCCACAACACTCTAGAGTTACCCTCAGTATTGAAAGCTTGCTCTGAGATTCACTAGAATTCTTCAATCACCACTGTTCAACCCCAAACCATGTCCGATGTTTGACCTCAACCAGACAACACTCCACAGCAACACAAAATATATGGAGGAAAAAAAGAAAAAAAAGCAACTGAGCTTTTCTGTCAGCAGAAGATGCTCCATCCCAGGCTAAGGCTGAGAAACAGCGCTCAGAGCCATCACCATTGCTGCTGTGCCCTCACAGATTAACTGCCTCCACCTGCCTGTGTTGAAGTAGGTGCCAAGTGAGCCACTTGCATCTTGATCTTGGGTTTAAAAACCCCACAGCTCTCATGGCAGCAGGCAGTAACACTGCTGGGCTGAGCAGAGAAACCCTAGGCTGTGCCTCTTCCACATTAGATCAAGAAACACATTCCCAACATTTTTCTGCCTCTGACCTTCCTCTTATCAGAGGTTCCCTCCTCTCCTACCTCCCCCAGAGCCATAGGGCAAGGACGGCCCTGCTGACCCACCCAGGAGAGGCAGCAGAGCTGAATCACTCATGGCTTGGACCCCCTCGCCCCCTTCATTATAAATTAAACAAATGGTGCTCATCGCCTTGTCAAAGCCTGCCACAAGCTGTGAGGAATGCTCCATCTTCACCAGCCCCACTGCCCTCTCCTCACTGGCAGGAGCAGCTCCCAGACCTGGGTGCTGGGGCATGCCCCCAAGCACACCCACCCAGCCACCACCTTGCGGCACCGACTTTGAGTCCATCCATGCCTGCTGGTGCCTTGCCACTGACCTGACACCTTGTCCTAGCCTGGCTGGAAAACTATGCCAGCTAGCTCTAGCACAGTGAAAGGGAGGTACGGAATCAGGGAAGCAGACAAGGCCAAAGACACACGGTCAAGGCTAAGCAAGGTGGTCAAGGATAAATTTTTTGGGAGGATGGTTTGGCACTCAGTGCCACCTGGGATGACAACAGCACCAACATCCTCCTCCAGTTACTCCTCAGGGCCATGAGCACAGCTGCATGAGCAATGGGTGCCACAGTGGACCAGATGGCACCAGAGGGAAGGAATTTCCCATCAGAATATCTCACCTCGCACACAACACCCTCCCTGTCACAGCCAACCATCACCCTGGTACAGAAGAGGAGGCTGGGGAGACGGCATCGTGCCCTCCAGGCTGCTACCTGCAACAGCAAAATGGATGAAAACCATAATCACCATGAGCCATTGATCTCTTGTACAGTGTAGATGCTTCAAGCTAAATTGTTCACAGAGCTGTAAAACCTGAAGTCCCGTTTCTTCACAAAGCCTTTGAAAAACTAACTGGATGTCACGCCGCACGTTTTCTCCAAGAGAGGTGGAAGAGTCACATTCCAGCCTAAAAAAGAGCATTACTGTTATCCACCCTCCTCAAGATTTACTGTCTTAAATATATACCCCACCTGGAACAGGGTGTAATTCAACTTGGATGTAATCTAGCTGAGTAACTTTTCTCCACATAGATAAACCACTTAATACTCACTACAACTAAATTGAGGCAAGACAAATCACTCTACCTTGTTTTAGCTCAGCCTTTGAGAGAGCAGGGAACCGCCTGACTCCTGAAGCTTTTTTAAAACATAAATTAGAAACTGTTTTAACAATGAAAACAAACTTTCAGCCTGCAGAGCACAGAACAGTGTCATTTGAAAAGGCACTTGGAAATACTGGAACCGTTCTGATTCTCATCTGAGATTTCAGAAGAATGTGTCAGAGAGGTAAATACTATGAATTATACATTTATTTTGATAGTAGCAAAATAAATGTTTTTGTTTCCTTCTATGTCATTTCTTCAAACCACAGGCACACAGAGCAGAGGCTTGTTTGCGACTGAGACACTTTCATTTAAGACTTTTTAATAACGAGGTTTTAGCACTTAAAAGAACGAAGGAAAAAAATGAATCCCTTTTCTTAGGGTGGTTCACAGCAGAGCTGCAAGGAAAAGTTACTGCTGGTGTCCGTGAGACAAGAAAGCTGTCAAGAGCCCTCTGATGGGACATGCGGCAGGATGGTTCCTAGCCTGGGCAATATGAAACAAGTTGCCACAAGCAAACTTGAGCCAACAAAGGTGCCTCAGTCCCCTTCCACAGCATCCCACTGAGGTTTGGTCTGTCTTTTCAACATCTGCTGCAAAGAGGTGGTTATGCAGTGTCCGGATGGGGTGCTGGCTGGCAGGTCAGGACCGTGGTGCCCCATTCCAGCACTGTCCTCACATGCACGAGGGAGGTGCCCCACACCCCCCATCAAGCAAGGCTGGACACCCGCTGCCTCACGCTGCATTTTTTCTCCAGGAGCTGCTTTTACAAAGCATGATATGAGACAGTATGCACAGCTATGTTTTGTCAATGTCCTGCAAACAAGGATCTTTCTGTCCTCATAAAAAGCATCATCCCTAACGCGATTCTCCATAATCCAAACCCAAGGAGGAAAGATGCAGGAAGGAGTGATGCTGTGCCAGGTTAGCATCTTGTGGCCAGCTGCCACCTCCTCCTTCATGTGATGGGATGCTGACATTTTCGCTTCCTTCCCTTCCATCAAAGATTGTCTCATAAACAGGCCTTCACCTGTGTTCAGTAAAACATTTTGCTGTTTGTTGGAAGTTTTGTTATCACACCTCTGCTCTTCAGCACCACATTTCAGATTTGTATTGCTCTGCTGGTTTTGCTTCTTGACACAGACAAGCAGGATAGGCCAGCACACTTGTAAGGAAGTTGATTTATTAAGCAAACAGCACTCTTTCAGAGCATCTGGGAAGCAGATGAAACCCATGTATCTTCATATACTGTCATTAAAGCAAAATTACTGAGAGATGGACAAACCCACCACCTTTGCCCACCACCTCACTGACCTAAACCCTCCTTCTCTCAGGTCCAGAATACCATCCTGTGCTAACCCAAATCCCCATATCTCTCCAGGTAGGAGTTTGTGCATAATTTGGGGTCTCCCTTGAGATGCGGTAAGACAATACACAATGACGAGGTCTATGGCAGACAGAAAGTCCCTGCCTTTTGTAGCTTTGCAAGATCCTCTGCAAGCAAACCATACCAACCTGCTCTACCTCTTGTCCCACCACCTCATTCACTGTGGGTTGTGCAGGGAATAGTTTCTTCTGCACTCTGCTGGGCAGCGTTAAAGAGGTGTCAGGAGGGCACTTACAGAAACAGAACTAAGGCCAAATGTCATTATTTCCATAGCTGAGATGATGCAGCACACTTCCCCTGAATAAACTCTGCATTAGACTATGTCAAATAACTAAAAGGCCCATATGGAGCATCCAAAGCCACCCATGATAACACCTGTCTTTGTAAGACTGGCAGGGTCAGACCTCATTTTTAAGGTGCAGGTGATAACTCAGGTATAGAACAGGTATACAAACGTTAGTCAAAACAAGAGAGAAGTGTGTTACCAGTCTAATCACAAATAGCAAAGAAATCTGGTCTTAACTAATACACATTTTTTTAACTCTCACAAGGCAGTGGTTATGCACTGGTGATGTGCTGTGCTGTCGCTAAATGCTGCTCTGGCAGGATGTAACATATGCTACTGCAGCTATGTAATTAACATTTCATAGCAAGCCTGTAACTATGAGCTCTCAAGTTTTTCAAGACCACACGTTCCTAACTCAGTTCCAGTTCATTAGGCCTGTCTGGGAGCTTAGCGGCCTCAAGTCAGTCTGTAACCATTTGATAAGGTCTCTCCTGACTTGAGTTTTTACAGCTCCCTACTGTAACTTCCAGCCATGACATCATCTCCACACACAGGAAAACATCTGTCTATGACAACTGTCAACAGGAGCTCAAGATATCCTGATACCAGGCATGTGTGCCCCATGTACTGCAGCGCAGCTGGAAGAGAGCTGTCTTGTCCCATCAGAAAGCAACCACCACTTTCTCCTTCCTTGCTTGGGTGACCTTTACATTACAATCTTCACGGGAGCTGTCCTTCTATCAAGGAATAGCACTGTAGGAACCACTGGAATCACTTGCATCTCAGGATCTCTAACCCACTCAACCCATAAAACCTGCTTAAAGGGAAGGTAGTAAAACACCTCCCAGTCTTGTAGTGTGACACCACACTTCCCCTCTCCTGAGGGGGACAACCGGTAGCGGCTCTTCTGCTGCTGGGAGTGAGCAGGGACAGACAGCGCTGCTGTGGCTCTCCAGGGCTTTCCACAGCTCTCCTTGTAAGCCTGCTTGCAGAGGATGGCACCTTCACCAGCTGCCTGGGCGCACTGTGCAACTACATAGATGTACTCAGTGAAGGATTGCCTGGGTGCAGAAAGGACAATTCTACAACAACGTTCAAATCATAGGTGGATTAGAGCAATTCTCCCTTCCAGACACTGTAGTACCAGCATTTTGCTATCAGCTTCTCCTAGCTGATATGAAGCAGACAACAAAAGATGCAGAAGCTGGAGAAAGGACAGCAGAAGATCAGACTGACCACTGAACATGATACTGTCCTCATAAAAACTTGTAAGAGAGGAAAAGATGACTATCTTCAACAAACTAGAGGCTTTTTGACTGCCTCATGCCTCAGTCAATGTAACTCCATCCAGAAAGTTTTGCTTTCCAAGTCAGAGCTGCACTGCAGGATCTTCTGCTGTCGCCAATCCAGGCAGAGTAAAGCCATAGCCCATTGAACAGTGCCAAAGCAGTGAATTAGGAAATCATCATAATCTTCCTTATCCCGTACCTCTCCACTATTGCCACAGATGGGCAAGGGCTGATCTATCACCGTATGGCCTAAACAGGACCTTCCATGAGAGTCTAATTTTAGATACAGAGAGATAAATCCTCCACTTCTCATAGACCCATGGATTGCTTCTCATTGGACTCCTCGATGCACAGGAAGCAACAGCCAGACTCTCTGCTCGAAGTTTGGGCCCTACCAGCCAGTTGTGATGGACTTTCCCTTAGGGTAAGGCAGAGATGCATGGTACGTTGTGTCACCAGCGCTCATTTGGGGACTGGAGCTGCAAGTTACTCACTGCTAATGGGATTCTGCAGCTTTAATGATTACGAAAAGGTTAAAATGACCTGCCAGGCACCCTCAGCTGTTTAAGCCTCTTTTCCTTCCTCGTGCTGCTTTAATCTTGATAGCACAGTCACGTGACCCAGCCAAAAAAAGCCCCAAAGCCGATTAGTGGCTTTCCACCAGCCACAAAGAACTCAAAACATTTGGGATGGTTTGGAGGCTTCAGAAAGAGTAGCCCGCTTAGCTCCATGCCCTCCTTTTGGCGGCACTTTGATGAATACTGCAGCCTCTAGAACTCACCAAGAGGGTATGAGCCGAGGGGAAACCCCTGAAACCAAGGCAACAGGCTGTACTTATTTGCACTTCCCATCTAGATACTTAATTCCTCCCTCCCATCTCCAAAACTCAACCCTTCCCACCTGACTTGGGCTACCACTGCAGTAGCTGCTGTCCCATTCTCTACAACAGCAACCAAAGGCTAACTAAGCCAATCCCACTGCCAGCACGCTACGCTCAAAGCCTCTGCCAAAGTCAACCTAAACTTTTGCAGCAGCATCCTTCAATTCCTCGTACACAGCAGTTCTGTGAGAAAGGATCTTGGGGCCTCTTGCAGTCTGTAAACTGTGCACAAATCAGTGTCACACTGGGGCAAAAGCAGTGTATCGTAATGCAGAAAAAAGAGCCCTGTATGTA